CTGCTGTCCACCTTTTCACATGGAAAATCATTTCACTGTTTCTCACTGAATGACTCCCCAAACTAGATTTGAAATTCTATCAAGTTTCTAATCATTACAAGTGATTCATGTTTCTATTTGATGTGTGAACTATTAAGCTTTAGTAAGCTATTATTAAGTTCTTATTTCATCATTTATAAAGCATTGCTTCTCCTTACTGTTCATTTCTAAATGTTTATTCTTGGTTAATAAAGCCCCATATAACATGTTCATTGTATCCTTTTTAACTAAGTGATAAAGTATTTAGATGCACATCCATCTGTCTGTCTGTCTACATTTATCTATATATATACATATATACATATACGGAGCTCCATTAACGGATGAGCTCAATGTTTGTATGTGAATAAATGTTTTATAAATGCTTTTTTTAAATATAATTTTGTAATTCATTGTTTGCGACAGTTACAAGTTATTAAGTTTTTTCTGTGACCTCATCTAAAGTGAAGTGTAATTTTGCCTTAAACTGTTTTTATAGTTGACTCAAAAAAGTCTCACATATCCTCACTACAGAAAAATGTCACAAAGCACAAAGAGATGCAAAACATTCAAATATTTTTTTGCCAGATTGAAACAAAGCCCACCTGAGGTTTGCAGGAGAAGAGTCTGAGTTTGTAGGAGGAGTTTAAGAGCGAAGGATGCACTGAGCCTCAGGATAGCCCAGCTTAAAGATAAAATATGAATAATGTTATAACGAAACAATATTTCACAAATAAGTGTTAACACCATGAACAAATTGTCCATCATGGCTGATAATGCAGGAGTTTGTAATGTCTTTAGTTGATTCCACTTTCCTCTGGTTTGTAGTCTGTTAGCTTTAGTCAGAGAAGACAGCATCCAGTCAGCTTCAGTTTCAAAATGCTCCTGAAGTAAAAGAAATACATGGAGATGATTTAGTTTGCTGGGATATGGACTGACATGTGTTTAATGGGAGTTTGTGTTTGCCCTCTTGATTCTTTATGACAACAATAAATATATTTTTTAAACAATGATTCATGTTCAATTCCATATGTAGTGGCGGCACTCCGTCTCTATTTCACTCTTCTGTACTACCTTTAAGAGTCAGTCCGGCAACATGCATTTGAAACGCGAGCAAGTCCAGGTACTTTTCTCGCAAAAAAGTTTTTACATGGCAAAACTCGGTCAAAAAACGGTGTTGCTTCCAGCTTATCCGACTCCCCAACTACATAATTACAGTGTGCCGGAAGCCCAAAATACTAAAAAGCGCATAAGAATGTCGCACTTGTATATTCTGTACCTTTAACAAAACAGTATTTTGAAATTAACTAGAAATTATATTCTTAACAACAAACATGTGTATTTCTCCTCTAATCC